AGGTAAACCCTAACCTGAATTTTCGATCGAGTTTGAATCGTATTGGCATGACGAGTTAATTTTTGACACCCCTACCCTAGAGCAGCTATCTGCGGCTAATCATTTCTCAAATTTTAGGGACCTAATGATCCTTAAAAAAAAACGTTTCTATGTGAAAAAGGGTAGGAGAAATCTTGCAAAAATGGGTAAAAAGACCGACCTTCCTCACCCATATTATCTCCTCTGGTTGTAACTAGGGCTGTCAAAAAAGCTCGTTGTTCGCGAACAGTTCGTGTTCGGTTCGTCAACGAGTTCGTGTTCGATTCGTTCGATAAGTAAACGAGACAAACACGAACATTTTTTTTTCGTTCGGTTAGTTAAACGAACCAAACACGAACAGTGATGCGTTCGTTCGTGTTTGAATCGTTATTGTTTGAAATATAAAATAATATAAAATAATTATATATAAAAAATTTATTATATTTTAAAACATTAAATTTTATAAATTATAATATATAATAAAATAATAATAATAATAATATAATATACTATAGTAGTAATATACTAATATAGATATTGTATATTTATATAATATAAGTTATATAATTAATATATAATATTATTTTTATATATTAATATTAGGGATGTCAAACTGGCTCGTCGTTCGCGAACAGCTCGTGTTCGGTTCGTGTTCGGCTCGTTCGTTAAAAAACGAACACGAGCTTATTTCAAACAAACTAAATTTTAAACGAACCGAACACGAACACAAGCTTTGTTCGTTCGTGTTCGGTTCGTTTACACCCCTAGTTGTAACCATATTCCCATGCATTGGTGACTAAATTAAAGCAACCATGACATCACCCAATCCAACGGCCTAGCTTTCGCCACGTGTTCCCATCTATGGCCAAAATTTCACGTTATCCTTGCCTTTAAATGCAATTGAGCCTATGATTTGAGGCCCTAACAACCACACCCCTAAAGAGTTAACTTTCCTCCAGCACTACGTCAATGGCTTATATATATATATATATGTAGATATATAACTTGAAGTGGATAAACATCGTTCCGTACATGATTGAGGTCAAATAGCAGCCCACGAAACTTTTATTTGCAAAGATGGCTATTACTATTTTGGTATTAGTTCAGCTGGCCCACTAAGAAGAAAAAAATAAAAATGAAATTTAAAAAAAAAAACTAACTATTTTGGCTCATTTACTAGTGTCTAAAATTTGAATCATGCATATTAAATTTTAGGCTCTAATTTCTCCAAAAGGACTAATTATTTTGAAAAAAAAAACTGCAAAATAATTAATAAGAAAAATTTACATGCATGCCTAACAATTCTTACGTATTTACATAACTACTATCAAAATCTCAATTTTTGCATATGTACCGCCTTACCTATGTTTGAATAGATGCATGCCACTTTTTGGTCGGTTAATATAATGATAATTTTTATGCAATATAAAAAATCTAGCTGATGTAAATGTAAAAATTGAAGTATATGTGTTAGATTCGTAGCATGTATGTAAATGCCCCTAATAAAAATAAGAGAATTAAAACTTACATAAATACGGCACAATTCTTATGTATATGCAAAATTTCAATATTCACACTTACACATCAGTGAATTTTTATAAAGGTAGTGATTGTATATGGATATGAGTGGTATGGACGTAAAATATGAATGTTTTGGTGTTAGAGATGTAAATACATAATAATTGTGTGGCATGCATGTAAATACCCAAAATAGTAGTATAATGATAATAATAAAGAGAGTCAACAACCTAAAAGAGCCTATTTTATTGCATAAACAAACAACGAAACGATGACAAGAAAAGTCTCCAAAATAATATAGTTTGATGAGTTTGCTGCGACCATCACCTTATTATATTAGTTCGGCATTGGGAGGTAAGACTTGAGGGGAGACATTAAAGCCCCATGTGCCGAATTTCAGTGGAAGAAAAAACATGGACTCTCTCCTAATTAATGCACATATGTGGCATAAATTAGGTTTACTTTGTTTGAGTAATTAATCATATTTGCATAGAATTATTAGGAGCCTGATTTGTAAATCAACAATTTTTTTTTTTATTTTTGATACATACTCATTTGTAGTTCAAAATTAATGTAGATTCATTAACTTGATGATTGCTAAGGAAATTAGGGCTACCTTGATCTCTTAATCCTTTGGGATGATGGAAGATCGAAACTCGGTCATTGGATCGACCGAACCAGATGTTTTCACTCAGACGGTGTTGATTCATTGGCTGGAGGTCTGCACTGAAATCATGATCGTTCGTTCTCATCGCTCTTTATTTGAGGATTCATTCTATGTTTTTTATATTAATTGCTGATATATTATATATTTCACATGCAAATTTTGAATAAAAAGCTAAATATTTAAAGTAAAAAGGCATGGTCGATCAAGATTTTAAAACTTGGACCAGTAAAAGATGAAGCTAAACAAGATGATGTTTGGTTCGTCTTGTTCATTAAGAAGCCAAAGTGTGATTTGGATAGAGGTGGCCATCCTAAGGCATAAAGGCCCATGCCATACTGAGATAACTCCATTAAAGCCATTGAAAGTAGGCTGAGATAAGGATTGAATTGGGTCACCGAAGAAAAGCAATGATAATGACCAACTACTCCAAAAAGTATGAATGAGACAATAAATGGACCTCATGAGAACATGGGCTATTATAATATATTATGCCCATATCATACTCCTTAATCTGAAAGAGTTATAAAAAAAAAAGAGAAAAATGGAGGGATATAATCTATTTTTCATGAAAATTAAAGATTAGAGAATGATGTAAATTTTTATTTTTTGGGGTCGTCTGAGATAAATTTTATTTTTTTATTTTTATTTTTATTTTTTTATTTTTTTTATTTTTTGGATTGATGAGATATTTTTGGCCTAGCTCAAACACACGTCTTAGTCTTAACGTTAAAGGGACATAGCTTGATTTTTTATTCTCTATGTTTATTTTATGTAATTTATATTTTTATTTTAAATAAAATTTGTGTGATATGTTATAACTTATAACCGTTTAAATTTAAAAACAATCAGGCTTTGTATTGCTTGGGCAAAATACTCCTTTTTTTCAGCTATTTCACTAGAAAAGCAATTACCTTAATGTCTACATACTCATCTCAAATAATCCTCAAACTGGATTATTGACATGTGCGGTCTTCTGGGGCCCAAAATTGATGAACATGCAAATTGAATCATCTATTTTAGTTAAAATAAAACAAATATAGTAAAAAAAAAAAGTGTTTGTTGCGTGCTAGAAAATTTGCTGCATTAGAGTAGCAGATTGTTATCTTAGCATGATACCAAGATTCAACAAACACTTAAGAAAGAGAAAGCAACTAATAATGATACCGGATGTTTTTTCTGTGAAAAACCTGGAAAGAGAAAAACCACGGGGAATAACCGTGCTAATAAGTTTCACTATAAAAAAAATGATTGCAGTTGCAACAACTTGTCCCATAGGCTAGAAATGCTTACTAGGTACCCCAAGGTACAACGTCGACGTGCAAATGAATTTGTTGCTAGGAATGGGGGTCAACCGAAAGCAATTGGCAGCGTCCGGTCGATGGTGGTCGATTGTCGTTGGCGGTGATCGATGACAGTCGCAATGGTCGATTGTGGTCAGGGGTGGTTGACGATAGTCGGAGGTGGGGGTGTTCGACTTCAGCTTCTTCTAAAAGCTTTGAACATTTCCTCATATCTCAAAATCCTCTCTCTCTCTCTCATGAGAGGGATGGGGTTCTAATTATAATATTCTAAGTACAATTATTGCAGAAATATAAACCACTTTAATCGGACGATCCAAAGAGTTTCCTTCGATCAGACTGTGTTTGATGGACATTTGAGTGCCTTAATGATGTCGAAATTGAGCAATTTTGAGCTCTTTGATTTGTCATGTTGAGACGCTCGATTCAACTATAACCTTGCTACTTTGGCATTCGTTTGACCTTCTACGTATGTCTAGAAAACTTTTTAAGTAGTTTAATGACTTGATCTGAACTTGATTTAACTCGGATTTGCTTAATTTTGATTTCATCGGGTCTGTCAAGTTGAACTGGCAAGTATGACTGTAAGTTTGCTGAAATAAGAGCTTTTGATGATTTTTTATCGAGTTTTGAATAGTTCTTGTTCAATAGGCTACCTTGAGATCCGTGTCACGTCTCAAGATACGTGACGGATGATGAAAATTTGTAGGAGTCCTATCAGTGCTAAACAAATATATTTTAAAAATAGAAACAAAAAAATACTAACAGAAATGGTCTCAAATCAGCTTTAAGCAAATGGAAATTATCAAACAAAAAGGGATTCAGAGAGCAAGAAAAATGGAAAAGATGGGAAAATATACAAACATGGAAGCTTAAACTGTATCCCCCACAAATATACCAGTTGCACGTAACAGTAGAACAGATTACAACTAGTTAAGCTCCCGGTCATTAGAACAAAAGAAAAAAAAAACACATAATTGAGCACAAATTTGACCGATTATGCTCATCTTTTTCTTATTAGGGTTCAGGTTGACCCTCCAACTCGAAATTGACTCGAATTTGACATACCAACCCGAAGCTGGCCCAAACTTCGCTTTAAATTAACTCGAATTTTACTCAGCTAATTATTATGTGTATGTTACGAGTCAGTCGGGTTGAAGGAGGGTTATGTTTAGGCCAAACTTTTAACCTATTTAATATTCGGAGCAAGTTCGGGTCAGCCAAGCCTATTTAATATTCGGGTTCCTTTGAAACTTCTTAACAAAAATATGTAAATCAAGCCGAACACAGGCAAACTATTCACGAATAATTTCTTACACGAGCCAATTTAAAACACAATTAATTTCGAACGAGCCGAATATGAGCTAAGTCTGGGCTCACTCAAACTCAGCTAATTTGAAGAATTTGACCAAGATAGAGCCCCTTTTAAAAGAGGAAGTGACAGAGTCGATATGACTTGGGTAACGAAGAAATGTTGAGAAGGCGAGTAAAGAGGACGAGTCATTCCTCCGTTTGAAGTCCTGGGCATCATAAACTTGAGATAATGGATGAAGTGGCACAGAGAGTTCATCAAGTCAAGTGAGGGTTTAGGAACAACTTGTGTCCTAGAGAAAGAAGCATCAACATCGTTCTCCCCATGACAATGTTTAACCTCCATCAATCCAATATTTTGTCCTGATCATGGCAAGATTAGTAAAAAGGCCAACTCTATTAACAACATATTAACAAAGAGGACCCTCAATGCCAAAACTCACAGTTTAAAAAAGTTTGCATAAAACATATTCTTCTACAAAAATATTAAATGCTGCTCTATGATATTAGGCATGTTCATTTTCACTTTTAGAGTAAATTAAAAGATCATTAGAAAAAACAATCATATAATATTCTAAACAAAATTTAAAAACTCTATGTATAACGTTCATAAGAGAAGAAAAAGTGGTAATCAGTTCATACGACATCACCAAAAATTCATAACGACCATATTAAAATTGAAAAAATAATCTTAGGCATCATATCACGAGAGAATTCAAAATCCAACCAAGAAAATAGCAGAAAGAACCGCCTAAAATGGACTCTCGTTTCATAAAAATGTGATCATGCTCTTGGGGTGTCAAAAATTAACCTGACACGCCAAAACGACTCGAACTTAACTCAAAAAATTGAGGTTAAGGTTGACCAGAATATTTTTAAGTCGGGTCCAGTTTGAGTTTTTCGACCCACTTATTATTCAGTTTGGGTTCGAGTTGACCCAATTCGAGTAGGGTCATTTTCGGGTCACGACCCGTGCTTGACTCGCAGACCAAATTGACATCCCTAGGTGTCAAAAATTGACCCGACTCACTTACATGACTCAATCTCGACTCAAAAAATTTGGGTTAAGGTTAACCTAGATATTTTTTGGGTCCGGTTCAAGTTGAGTTTTTTGACCTGCTTATTATTAAAGTTGGGTTCAAGTTGACCCGGATTCAGGTCGAGCAATGTTCGGGTCAAACACGAAATCGACCCGCTGACCCGAATCAACATCCTAGTTTCAGCATAAATTTTCTACCCATAGTAGTGTTGCGGCGCTGCAAAGATAGTGCTCGGCACTAATATAATAGCACTAAACACTTATACTATAACGTTGCGGATACAGCTCCAAGGCACTATGTACAAGGTAAAAACAATAATAGAGGGAGTTGCCCCTCCACCCTCCCCCCAGAAATTCACTGCGGAGCTTAATTGATGAAATTGAGAGCTCTCCGTTGACAAATAATCTACAGAATCAAGCTCTACATAATAACAAGTAGCTTATTCAACTCTTTATAATTAATGCACAACCTCATATTTTCCCTATAAGATTCCTATCATGAATATAAAATTAATAAACCTAAACTCATAGATAAAGTTCACACCAATTTGTTCATCTATCATAAAAATAATAGCAATAGATAATCCCTCCAAAATTCTATTTTCAAAATGTCCAATTGATCATTATCAATATCGCATATAATGGCTCCATCTTCACACCAAAAGTACTTCCATTACCATTATTTTCAACAAAATGGGGCCTATTTATGTCCTATGTCAAGCCAAAACCTTAATAATCATCCATTATGATATTGATGGTTCTATAGGCTACTTTCCTCCATCTTGGCGATGAAGACAGGCCACCAGTAACTCGAATTGAAACGAACATAAACAAGAAAAAACTAAAATATAACGAATGAATGTGACAATATTTTAAAGATTCAGAACCAAGCAAGTTTCAGAATAAAAATTCAAGTGATGCAATACACAACATACAATGAAATGATACTCTTCTGAAGTTTTTTCATAGCTCTAACAATGAGAAAATTCGTCCATAAAACTGAATTGTTGTCACAGGACTAATGAAAAGCTAATATAACTGTTAAAAACTGCTGTTTTGCAAATTATTCTGTAAAATATTACCAAAGATCATTTAGATCAATCATCATCTCACTGTTCCAATTAATCTCATTAGTATTTGTCCTGGATAATGAACAAAGATCTTCTTCCACAGTATCAGCCAAAGCAACTTCCATTGAATCAGCCAAGTCTCCCTCCCAAAGGCCCAATCTACAGACCTTCTTGTAGGCATCATATCCTGCTGCCCTCAACCCATCCACAACCATCTCTCTTAAAACACCAGAAATAGTGTCAACTGAACCCATGTCCTTAACTAATATCCCAGCAGCACCCTTCCTCCCAAAAACTACAATAGTGCAGGATTTATCCGCAAGTAGAACATCAAAATCTTCTGAAAACACTGGATGGATTTGCAAAAGACGATTTTTAAGCTCCATAGCAGAAATAACACCATCAAATCCCCATAAGAAGAGTATGTTATCTGTGCTTACTCTCCTGGTAGTATCAATCCGCAAGCCAGTTTCATCGTCATCATCACCAGGTTCAGGAAGTGTTACAGATGCTGGATAGAAAATGTTTGCATAATCTTCCATTGAAGTGGAAAGCTCAAGTTTTGTTAGGCTAGAAGGAGCATTCTTCAACAATATATTCAGCTTAGCAAACAAAAAAGTTAGCTTTAGAACATTGTTTCCATGGCACTGGTTCCCATCTTCAGCTCGCACAGGAACTTCAAGTTCTACTGGCGCAAAATACTGTCTTTTTAAATAACTGAGGGCGCTTGGGATATTCTTTGCTTTCCTCAATGGCCCAAACTCCTTCAACAAATGATTAAGATCAATCACATTGGAGAATAGCAACCTCAACGAGCACATGAATTCTGACAGGGTAGCCGGCAATGGGCCGAGAAACTTCTGATGAATGAATGTAAATTCATGCAGACAGTTGTCGGAAACTATTGTTTTGTGAGAACTTGAGATCAAATCAATGACATATCGGAATCCTCTCAGTTTGAGATTCTTCTCATCTTCAAGATTCTGAATTTCTGTCAAAAGTGCTTTTTTATCCTCTTCTGAGCTGGTTAACACAACACGCACTGCTTTTGATTCTCCTCCATTATGAGAGATAACTATAGGTACAAGATCATCAGAAATATGTTCCACAATCTCAAAAACTAACAGCACTTGTTTTTCACTGCAGATATCTACACTCAAACCAGGCCTAGAACCATAATCTTCCCCACCTAATACTATTTTCCGCAGAGATTGAACAAAAGACTCGTCTTTGGTTCGGCCGGTATCTTTACATCCTTTTCTCCAGTGAGTAATCCTTGCCTTGATTCTCTCCTTGAAAATTGAATCTGCAACACTAAAATTTTGCGAAGACGCAACTGTATGCATCCACGATCCCATATTTATTTCTCTCACCTTAGCTTCCTGTACTCTAGATAAGTATGATATGCCATCATAAACGCAAGCATTGAAATCAAAACCCTCGCAAGCCATGGAGGTGAGGAATGATGTCTGGCATGAAAAGCTATAAGAAGGCATGCCTAGGGTGAGTTCATCTCTAGGAAAGAGATGGAAGTTGTAAGGGAAAGCAAGCACCTTTGAACCGCGAATGGAGAATGGGCAGACGGCGAACTGGAGGAGCTCGAAGTTCTCGGCAGCGAGCTTCGATTTGAGGTAAGCGGTCTCAGATGTATCAAAGGGGAGAATCATCCTCCATGGCCGGCGGTGAGAGGAGGAGGAGGAAGAGTCTCCGGTCTTGCGGGTGGAGATAGCTATGAATTCGGCGGCTTCGATGTCGGCCTTGATTTGGGGGATGACGGCGGCGAAATTCGATTTAGTTACTTGCTTCACCGACGCGCCGGCGAAACGAGGGTGGGTGGCCCCCCCCGCCACGCGCCTTTAGCCTCTCCGGCGGGCCGGTGGTTGGGCAGTGGAGCCCGGTGAAGACGAAGGGAAGAAAGCGCTTTTCTATAATTATTTTAGAAAGGAGCGCCGGAAGTGAATATTTTTAGCCCTGTTTTAGGAAAAATTATTGGGTCCGCCGCATGTTCTCTGCATGCGGTAGCAAATGGCAAATTAACACGTGTAATGATGGGCTCTTATTGAAGAGAAATAAGCAGAATGCGTGACCCGACTCGAACTCCGCCCAATAACCGGAAAAAACGTATATTTGTGCTTATGGAATCCCGCCAAATCTAGTATTTGGACATTTTCGATCCCGCCAAATAGGAATAAGTGTCTTATGGATGTAGATTTTTTTTATTTCGTCGTCTGTTAGTAGTCGACGAGTGGGGCAGAGCTCGTCTGTTAGCATTCGACGAGTAGGGC